ATGAAAATACTACTGGTACAATCATAGGCATGTCTACTGAAAATCCCATCAAGATACCTCTTCCCAGGGAACTAATGTTGAACCCTTTTCCAAATTATGCTTTTCCCTTTTCTATTACCCAGTAAATGTTAATCCCTTTAAAAATGTATCCGTATGTATGACAAACGTGTCCAGAAGAAGACGGGGTGGCATACTGTTTGCCTTAAAGCTCTCTGTGTTCTAACTGAGCATAGCTTCCTAGGATGAACATGGTTTATGTTATGCTGGGGAATCAGGCCCTCCTGATATTGATGATCTATCACTACTTAAAGCCCAAGGCAGAATGGCCAGTAGTGAAAAGAAGCTGAGAGTTGTCATTGGGTCAGAATTTCCCCAAACCTGGCTCACACCATCTGGCCTACAGACTGTAGTGTAAATACCATGGACAGAAGATCAGTGCCATTATTGCTGGGAAGTGAGAAATTGAAGACTTTTTAACATCTAGAAATTATTAAAATTTTGTATCAAAGCATGTGGATAATGTAGTGCAGCTCACAAGGTCTAGTGACATTTGCATGGTGTAAATTGTGGCATGAGTTGCACAGTGTGATATCATCTCCCAGATATGTGATACTGAAAGGCACGTGCATGCATACAACTTGCAGTCCTTTAGATGTAACTAAGAAAGAAAAGGTTGAAAAGTTTCTACTAAAATTTTAGAAAATGGAAGGGATTTCAGGGATGTTCCAAATATGAAATGCCATTTACAGTCCTGTAAATTTGCCATATGAGTACTAGTTCCTGCAAGCACCTTAGTATTCAAATTGCTATTTGTACCACTTGGATTCATTGGAGGTTATTTTGATGGCTAAAAAAATTGTAAGTTTCGCCTTGTAAAGAAGATAAGAATGTTCTGTTCTCTGAACCAGTGTAGACATGCTTATTCATTAGCAAGATCATAATGTGCAATATACAGTGAGATGGGTGGCGTATAAATTTGATTAATAAAATAAAATAAAATAATAACGTGCAATAATCCTGTTTTCATCCTTTTTTCTTTTCTTTTCTCTTTTTCACAGTGGGCAGAATATGTTCTCTTTGCAGCTTTGTTGTTTGCAGTTACTATAATTTTTGCTATTATGGCCTATTTTTACACCTATGTGGATCCAGCTGAGGTTGAAGCTCAGTTTGCAGAAGAAGAACAGAAGAAGAAAGAAAAAGACCAACTGGAAAAGGAACAACAGGAAAAGAAACAATTAGAAAATATTTATGAAAATGAAGTTGGAACTGAGCTACAGACTAATATGTGAAAATATGTTTCAAATCAGAGTGAGAATGTAAATTAATGCGCAGAACACTGCACCTGTAGTTTGAGATTCATAAGGGATACTTTGTCGCTGGACAAGCTGTCTTACTGAACAGGAATGAGTAACGAGCACCATAAAATGAATACCGATGCCTGTGGCTGAAGATTAAGAAATCAGTTCTCCTATGAAGAACTGAGGTTTTCATTTTCTTAGTCGACAGAAGGCTGCACTTGGATAAAATCTGAATCTAATTGCGCTTGGCCATTGTGAAAAGACATTCAAAGTATTATTTTTATATGTAACTACTTTAATTTTATATGGAGAAGGCAAACACTCATAGCAATAGACATTTATGTCTCCTGCTATACATAGGCCCAAAGATTTGCAAATGTTTTGATGCTGCAATACAAATAATGATCATATATATATATACACTTTTTCCTGGAGACTGATCTGAGCCAGTTAAATGTTTACGATCAGGTATTGCACTAAACACTTCTTCATTTTCTGTCAGAGGATTCTGCCAAGCCTAACTTTATGGGGCTGTTGAGGTGGAGATGGGGGGGGGGAGGGAACTGCTTTGTCAGACAATCAAGGCAAATGAAATAAAACTTGGTTCTTACCATTAGAGTCCAAGTTTACTTTTTTCAGAAGGAGAAGAATACCCAGGCTTTAACTTTTGTTATTAATTCATTTGCAGATAGGGTGCTTTTGAGTAACATCATTGAAGCCGTACCCTGCTACCCTTCAGCTGGATCGGTTGGGAGCTGTAATCCGATTTGGATAATATCAGGGTTAAACGTTTGGGCGCCCTTGTAATGGCTTCTTTAAAACATCCATTAGCTCAAATCAGCCCTCATTTCTGTTTAAACTTATGTTGCTCCGTCCTTGAGAGAGAGAGAGAGAGAGAGAGATATTTATCACACCACATTCACAGTGGTTTAGAATATTAAATATGAAAATAGCACAACAAAAATGGGGGGGGCGGGACAGAGGGGGGCTGACAATAGAAATGCTACCCTATTTCCAAGCTATGTTTTTCTTTGTCACTGTGTAAAAAATCTCCAGAAGTATTCCCTTAGTACTGTACAGCTGTGGAGGTTGACCATGGCTGCCTTAGCAAGAATGTATGATGGGTCTATATTCGAATGTCATTCTGTGCTACAAACTAGCCAAACCCAGCTTCTGTAGTTAGTTTATAGTTCAGTTGAAAGTTAACCATTAGTAAGTATATTATACTTATTTGTCATAGTAAATGCATTGATTAATTAGCTCCCTCAGGTAATCTACCTATGAGTCATACCAACTCAATGTTATCCAGACCTTTTGAGTACCCCATTCACTGCACAGAGGTGGTTTCCCTTTGTGCTAAGTCTGTCATTGTGGGAAACCTCCCAACTGTTTTCTAGGAAAACCCAACTTTTATTTAGAGGGTAACTTTTATTTATTTATCAAATTTATATAGCCGCCCATCTCACAAAAAGTGACTCTAGGCGGCATACAACAATGAATAAAAAAAAAACATAAAAAACAGTCATTATTAAAATTTAAAGCAGTCATTTTGTGCTCCTGATTGACATTGTTGGCTGTGGGTTTTTAAAACAGTGTCACAAAATGTGGACTCTTCACATCTTTCATCTTCCCTTATTTTGAAGTGGGTGCAGAACAAAAGGTCTTGCTCTTAAGTTTTGTATATTTTGTACATTAGTCGTAACATTGTGATTATTCCAAGAAATTAATAGGAACTGTTTTTCATTGGCTACCAAATCTGGACTGCAAGAATCCAGATGACCATTAGGTGGAAGCAGGTTTTTCTGTCTCCTGATCCCGTGGTCATCTGGATCTTTGCAGCCTAGATATGGGAGTTCTAGCTTCATTATCCTACCTGCCCATTTTTTCACATTTTTATTACTTTTACCTTGCCATTTTTCAGTCTGCTTCCCTTAAACGGATTCATGTAAATGTTTCTAATTCTGGAGTTTCCAATATAGTGCTCAGAGGCACTTTTCTGAACACCTCCCCATTTTCCTCTGGAGTCTTGGGAAGTGTGTCCACAGCTGTGAAAGAAAGGTTGCTCCCTGCCATTGACAACTTACATTCTTGCTTTCCAGTAAGCTGGTATTTCATGATATGGTTTTCACCATGACAAGTGTTTTGTGTGACTGGACAAGCAACCATCTCCGGTGGCAACCATTTTGCAAGTGTACATGTGACACCTTTTAAAAGTCCAAGTACTCCCACTGTCCCAAGCAACTTGAGGTTGGCTGTTATAAATTTACCTCTCTGTTGGTGGATAATCGCTCTTTTTCAGGCCTCCAGAAACTATGTTCATTGCAGAAGTGGAGGGACTGGTCTACACATCCCTCCTTCACCCTCTTCTGGGTTATTAAATATACATACGGAGCTCTGCCACGCCATTATCTGTTCCATTTGCAAAACATCCCAAAGGCACTTTAAACTCAATGCATATCTTTCTCCACTTTGTCCTCACCATCCAGGGACCCCAAACATGTTTAGCATTACGGTGAGCTCTTAGGGAGCACCATTATACAATACTCCAGACGGAAGAAAGGCTCCGCTTCATTATGGCATCTTTCTAGCAAGCCCTGTGAAGGCTTTTGGGTGAGCAGATCTGGTTAGCTGGTGTGCTGTCAGTCTTCCTTTTTGTCTTTTAATCAACACAGGCAAACAGCCTTTCCTCAAGCTGGACTGTGGGACAGGCACTGAGGGCATTTGTCCAACCTAGGATGACCTTGTTCTAACCCATCTCTGGAATAGGGAGGAAGAAAAATATTTTGCTCTGGCAGAGAAGCAGGGGATTAGGGATTTTGCACTAGGTTACAGATCGTGGCTAGTGCCCAGAACTGTAGTAAAATCTTCATGTGGCTGGGGTTATGCCCAAAGGAAGTTTCTATATGGCCCCCAACAGGCAACCACTGATTCAGAAGAAATCAAGAAATATCCTGTTTTCAGTTGCCTCCACCTCTTTCTGGAGGGGTTGGATTGTGCAGCTTCTAATCCTTGGAACTACAGGTTTTTTTTTTTAAAACTCTACTCTGGTCTTACAAGATATTTCTCAAAATTTCTCCCAGATTATACTTCAATCATACGTTCAAGTTCAAATGATCCTACTTTGGACAATTTAGAGGAAGACCTAGCTCTCTTGAAAAGGCTGTAATGCTGGGAAAGGTAGAAGGAAAGAAAAGAGGACGACCAGCAACAAGGTGGGTGGACTCAGTTACAGGAGCAAGGGGTGCACCATTAGAAGACCTGGAAGACCAGGTTAGGGGCAGATCGTCATGGAAGAAATCTATCTATGTGGTCGCTAAGAGTCGTCAACAACTTGATGGCACATAATCATATATTAAAAATTGCTCTCAGACAACTGATAGTACTGTACACCAGATGGCTTTAATACAAAGACAAGAACTGACGGTAAGCAAGAACTTCCTGGGTCTAGCTAGATTTAAGTTGTTTTTCAGATTGCAAAGCAAGTGCACTGAGGAACCAGCAAATATGGTATTATATCTTGACGTCTGTGTCTATGCAGCAGGGCTGGGAGGGCAAAAAGAGAACCTTCAGATGCAACAGGGCTGTCCTTATCTCCATGGGTATCTGCAGGAGGAGCAAGTGATGTCACGCTCGCCATGACATCATCATACCAAGGATGTCAATTATGAAGTTTGCACCATTTGCACAATGACATTGTGACTTTTATCAGACACCTATGCTTATCCCATATTGAAGGAAATAAATATGGACGGCCACAGAGAGGGTAGCAGTTGAAATGATCAATCCAGAATTTAAGATTTCAATTCCTGCTACTATCTGATATCAATTCCACAAATGGGAAATTTAAGCTTCCTACATCAGGGGATTAAAAACCTGTTCTTGACTGTCTTTTTTCTTACTAAGCCAAACTAATTAATTATATCATAGTTCAGGGTGTGTGTCACAATTTATCAATTACTATAATTGATATCCCACAAATATAATTATATCTTAAGGAAAACTGAATGCAAATACAAGTTCCATGGAAATTACATCACATTCTGATTATTTTTAGTATACTTTATTTGCTATTAATCTGTATAAACAAATGTGTAGCTTTGAATCCTTTTCCCCAATAAATAAATGAGTAAGTATAATGTTTTTGACTCATTTGTTTAACTGGGTTTTCTTTATCTAGTTTTAGGACTTGTGTAGAGAATAGATCACATTTTAGGTCATATTTATGCAGAAATATTGAAAATTCAAAGGGGGTCACAAACTTTTAAGCACCACTGTGTGATGGGGTGAACCAAGCCGTTACTAGGAATCGGGGACAATCCAGCGGCATCCCCTGGACCTTGCTGTTTTGTCAGAATGACAAAATCAGGGTCCTGGCCCACCTTTTTGGGGCATCTGTGTGATGTCATGATTCATGTAGAAAGGGGGGGGGTTGCATTGCAATGCTCCAGCGCTGCTTTAATCAGACAGACCCCACTGCCACTTGGCATTGATTATTTTTGCAGTCTCCAGATCACTGAAAAGATATTGAAGAAATCTGATGGCAAAACCTAGAGATCCAAAAGGTACTAATCTACTCCTATGCTGGTTCACAGGAATTCGAAAAAAACCGAAGCGTGTTTTTTGGTCATCAAATTATTCCCTAATGTAAGACCTGTTATCTAGCTGCATTTTGTGTGTGTGAAAATAGATGTACTGTGACGCATGTGCTGGCTGTACTGCGGTGAAGCAGAGGTTAGAGAAATGGTAGTACCGTACTGGGGCAACCCAACCAAGCTGGGCCCATTTTCCCCTCTGAAAATCCTCCCATCAGTAATGAAGACAGTTTCTCCTCTTTCATATTAACAAAAAAGGTCTCAGTATGCAAGTTAGCTTGACCCTAGTTTCTCCAGCATCCTGGATTTCTCTCCTCACTCTTTACATGAACAACTTCCTGAACCAGGATGAATTCACACATTTATTATTGAATACAGATCCGGACCAAGCAGAGGCAATGCCTAACACTGACCTTAAACTTATCCCTTTCTCCCAAGGCATCCTGGGAATTGGATCCGTCCATCCTGCTTTTAGGTAAAAACAAAACAAACGGGTATTTTTGTTTGTTTTTCAACAGAGCAAAGGAATACGAAAACATTAGAACAGTGTTAAATGTCGGGGGTATTTAAAAATGGGACTACACTTACATGCATTAAAACGCTTTAGAAAACCAAATGAAGGAGCGTGCGTTCCAAGGAACGGGTGAGAGGACCTTATTCCAAATTTGGTCAGTTAAAAGAAAACGAATCCGTCCATCGTAGCAGCCCCTCGCGCTGCAAGTTCCCGAATGCATCTCTGAGGAGCGAAGCCTCCTCCTTCCTCCCCGGCCATCCGCGTCCCTCAGACGGGCGAAACGCTCTTGAAATTCACCCCGCTTTCGCGAGGCACCGAGGGGGCTCGTTTTGCCTTCGGGACTGGACTGGACTGGCCAGGAAAGCCCGCAGCCCTTCGAGGCGGCTGCCCGACATCGGGGGTGGGTGCGGGGGCGTGAAATAAGCAGCCGCAGCAGGTCTTTCTCGACTGCACCTGCCCGAAGAGGGAGCCGCGGGGCTGGGTGCGGGGTGCAGGCGCCCCTTCGGGCCGGAGCTGAAGCTGAGGCGGGAGACGGCCAAGGTCGCCCTCTGCGGCAAAGGCGGCGGGAGGAAAGCAGGAAGCGAAGGAGCGGCCGAGCCGCCCTCCTCCTCCTCCTCGCTTGCTTCCAGGTTGCGGCCGCTCGCCCCGCCTTCCTCCGTCCCGCCCGGGGTCAGTTGTGGGGGAAGGAGCCCGACGGGCGCGCGTAGAGAGCAATTGCAGGACGGTGCCAGGGCCTGCATTAAAGGGCGAAGTCTCCTCGGCGGGACTTCGCGGACAGCTCCGGGCACTTTTCTCGCAGAGGTTGCAGGCGGGCTGCCCTTGGCACCTCCCCAGTGGTGCATACGGCCCTGGGTCTCCCCATCCGAGTCGCAGCGAGCGCAAGCAGCTTAGCTGACCTTGGAAAAGCTAAGCGGGTCACAGCTAGTTAGGACTTGGATGGGAGACCACCAGGAAATGCCAGCGGTAGACTGGCCTGGGAGGCCAGAAAGCGCCCCGGGAGAAAATAAAGCAAAACGGG